CGCCTGCACCCGCTTCACTGGCTTCACTGGCACAGGCTCCGGAGGAAAGTCCTGCCAGATTTTTTCACAGCTAGCTATGGAAAACTGCTGCTTTCAACAGCAAAAAATGGTGAAAACTTGGTGAAGCAGGAGCAATAATGGAAAATGGTGGATAAAAACACAAATGCTGAAGACTTTGCGATTTCACCATGAAAATGATGAACAATTGAGCCGCGTTTTTTTTATTATTTTTTTTGGAAGTGTACAAAACGGAACTTCGCGGGAGCCGACTTAGCCATTCAACATGGGGATTTAATCAATGGATGGATGTTCGAAATGAATGGGATACCCTCTGGTAAACTAACATAGCTATTGAAAATGGCCATAGAAATAGTTGATTTTCCCATTAATAGCATGGTGATTTTCCATAGTTATGTTAGTGTACCAGAGGGTATGTCATGGGGTGGTTACAGGAACTACCCATCATGGCATTCGAGTGGCAGCAATCATGATGGTTGAACGACCAAAAGACCGTGGACTTTGACTAACGCCATCCAGCGATCTTAGCAACATGTGGATTTCTGGTTGGTGGTATACCTACCCCTCTGAAAAATATGAAAGTCAATGGGAAGGATGACATCCCATATATGAAATGGAAGGATTATCCCATATATTATCCATAGATTTACCACAGATTATCCCTATACCTATCTATATACTATCAATGGTTGGTCAATGGAAAATAAATGAAAATAAAATTCATGTTCCAGTCACCACCAACCAGGTGGATTTCATAAGGACCGAGTCATCCGGTGCCCCGTAGTTTAACAAGCTGTATACCCAGCGATAATCACAGTTATGTTGCCAATTTGGACACGGGTGACGAACCCCATCCCCCTAACAGAAAAAACACCCCCTAAACGAAACACGGTTTTTCATAGGGAATTTCCACATTCCATTGGGACCATTTGGGGAGTTAAACCAGGGGCATGTGAATATCTCCCTTGTCGTTGATTGATTTCTCCGTTTTTTCTTGTTGGATAACCGGATAACCCGTGGCAATCATCGGGCTCCGCGGCTGTAATGCGTCCACCCAAGCATATGAGCCCAAGTTGAAGATTGACCAACATAATCAACATATATTTACCCTCCAGTAAATTAACAGTTTGACCCTGCCAGATAGGGGTTGGAAGATTAGTTTCCATAAAAAAAGTGCTATTTTCAGGGTCCACTGTTTATTTACCAGAGGGTATATAGCGAGAATTTCCAAAATCACAGCGGAAAATCCTCCAATTAGGGCCTCCGTTTGTTTGTTTTGGGGACACCAACCATCCAACATTGTGGGGCGAAATTGCGCAGGATTTAGACCGTCACCAACAAAATCTCCAACCATTATAGGTGGGAGACATCCTGTAGGGATTTCCCAGCTTGCCACGTTAACGGTGAACGGTCAACGGTTAACGGTACTTCGATGCACAAAAAGAACAGCATCGTTCCCAGCATCCAAAATCATAAAAATCAATGGTAAATTTATACAAATTTACCAACCATCTGGTGCCCCAGTTTGTCAACACTAAGTTGGACTCCAAAAACTGTTGGGCCTATGATTGTATAGTAGAGTAAGTAGTTTCAAAGGGGTAACATCAACCAACAAACATATCATATCACTCACTAGTCCCACCATGTCCCACCAAAAATTTTAGCGTTTCTCCACCTCTCAGGTGTCGTGTCCACCGCGTCCTGAGTCATCCACCATGGAATGCCGTTACCTTCACCGCTCACTGACGTCGCTGCCACCGGGGAAGGCGCGTCCAGCCGGGGTGTGGCGACGTAAACCGGCGGGGTAAAGATTGGCGGTGCTGGCGCTGGGGGTGGTGGACCAATGTCGACCGGGTCTTGCCTGAGTGGCTGGGGGATTCTTGTCGGAAGCAGAACTTCATGGGGAATATCACGGGAATATCTTATATCTTAAATTAGTTGGAACATCGAAGTATCCAAAACATTCCAAAATTTATGTGAATTTATGTCAACAAACCAAATCAACAAACCAAAAAGACTGTTCCGAAACTGGATGAAGCTGGGAAATTGAGGGAGCCTCCTAGAACTAACCAAATTGTTGGACTATTATTGTCCCCGAGGATCCTTTTCGTATACAAAAGAATCATAAATGGTCCTCACAGACATGGGTTTGTTTAAGAATTGGGTGCCCGATTCCATTCACCACATCATCAGCATCAGCATCATCATCATCATCATCATCATGATTGTGATAATGGTTTCTAGTCTTGGCATTTTTGGCATATTGTTTGATATTTGTTGATATTCGAACCTTTATATTCAATGATTTAATATATGAAACCTTGATCATGGTCATCATCCCCATCATACACATTATAATGTGTATATATATATATATATAAATATACTAAGTGCATATACTAAATTATACTATCCCCATCATGATCATGATCATCATCAGGACTAAATGCCGGTATTTTCTGGTGTAACTGCCCCCAGTCAGACGATTTTTTTTTTTATTCGAATCAAAGGAGCCGAGCATTCAACAAGAGCCTGCACCAGTAGTCCTAGGGCCGGCAATTTGGCAATGGAGAACCAAAGCAACAGAGAAACATATGTTTTTCCGCAGGAAACCGAAAGGAAAGGAAGATCTGGTTTGATGGTTTTCTATGGTTTTCTATGGTTTTCTGGCAGAACCACTGCTTTTCCGCAAAATTCTTACAAAGCATGCTTTGGGATATGATTGGAAAAAAGCTACGGGTTCTGGCTGGTATTAATCCCGGTTTCCTGTAGAGTCACCTGAGTAAAGAATCACCAGGGGAATCTGAAATCATGTGAAGTATTAGATACATGCGTTTGTTTGAAAATAGGGCGTCCAAACTACAACGATGCTATATCATCATTTTCCTCACATGCAATTTGGCGATGCTATATCCCATTTTTAGACAAACCTTCTCGTCGGTATGATGTCCGAAAAAAAACCAGGAAAAGCTGCCCATCTTCTTTTGAAACATCGAGAAAAAGCTGCGAGAAAACACTGGGGGATCTCGTCACTGAACAGGGCTGCCTCTCCTCTCGTTCTGAACTGCAATTGTTCCCGAGATGGGATCAGACGTGTTAATCTGTAAACTTGGATAGAAAAGGATAGCAGAATGTCAACTCCGGATGAGACTAAACCATGGTTTATCAATTAGGGGGGTACTCCTCCAATAGTCATGATTTGATACTTTTTTTATGGTACCCTCCCAATTAAACAGCCTAGGGGTTTATTAATCCACTACTAACCACTACTAACCACTACTAACCACTATTAACCACTATTAACACCCTAATGTCAACTAGTAGTGGTTTATTAATCCAGGGTTGACATTGTAGTTGAATCATCCAAAGACACTCCACCTGTTTGCAGTCATTTTTTGGGTCGCAGTATCGGGATTGTGGGGGGCCCATGACAATGGAATCATGAGTGAGCTGATTAGTGGAAAGGTTGTCCAACCCTATCTGAGAAGTGGAATCTAGCAACCCAAATATGTCAAAATCGATTGAACACTGGAAAACCTGGAAATTAAGATGTAAGCATAACCCATAATATCCTGGAATTGTTTGTTTTTGATTGTTTGTTTTTGTGAGATTTTGCAGAAACCGCTCAGAATTGATGACACGAACTGGTCAAAACAATGTCATAATCACCACTACTTCGATGCACATCCCAATTTCTATCAGTGGCTAATGAGTTTAATAAACATGTTCGCCCCAACCCGGACGTTGCTCCACACTTACAATCGTCATGATCATCATCATCATCATCACCATCATCAGCATCAGCATCATGATCAGCATCATGATCATCATCATCATCAGCAGCAGCATCATCATCGCATCATCGCATCATCACATCATGATCATCATCGCATTAAAATTTGAAACACCCTCTGAACAATATGTTAATTGGGGTAATAACATCAACTTTTTCTTCATAAGGGATCAAAATTTGCCCCCCCCTATGAACAAATATGTTGATTGGGGCATTAACGTCAGGGTTGCAGCGAACATGTTTCAATCCATTTCTTTTTTTGGGAAACCACCCCCAGTAATGTTCTTTGACCACCTCATGGTGATCGTCGGTGCTACGATCGTCAACCATTTCTTTCACCAAGTGGCGGCCAAATCCCGATTCATTTCCTGAGCGCTGGAGGATCAGTTTTTTTTTTGTGGAGATTTCGGGACTGAAATTTTGCCGAAGAATGAACCCTAAATGCAGCCAGAAATAGTTTGGTAGTCTGTGTTTCCGAAAAACAAACTCAGGATGTATTTAGGGATACATTCAACTACATCCATATATATATATATTAGTGGGTATATTCCACTTACTAGCCACTCAACTACGCCTGGTAAGATCCAAGTAATGCAATCATGCGCAATCCAATGCAATCCACATGTTCACTGGAAAGCTCCTCGAAGATCACTTGGAAATCACGGCCACATGTGCATAGCAATGTGTTGCGGCTGCATCACACTTAATAAGTTCAAAAAACAAAATACACTTAGGATATGCCAATATGTAAAATATATATATATATATAATAATAATGATAATAATAATAATAATAATTTGGTTGTACTTTGTTTATCACCCACTGAGTAAGTGGGATGCACGTCCAAGTATTGACCATGAGTGGCTCATGGACATGGCTTTCATGCTGGAATTCTATCTCGTGCTCGTGGTCTTTTGCAGTAGCCCCTGTCAATGGATGTCCATTTGTTTCTCCCACACATCAAAAAAAAACATAGAAAATCGCTAGCTGTTCATGCACCAACGACAGCAAGCGTATATGCTGTGTGGATTTGTTTTCGAATCAAATTTTACATGTTCCCTTTCATGGTGCGTAATACTTTCAGAATCATCCCACTTAGCAAGTGATTAACCTTGGTCAGAAATCTCCTACGTAGGTTGCCTCATTTCTACAATGTGGGGCCCCCTAGATAGCTAAGTTGGTTTATAACTCCAGTAACTCAGGTTTATGATACTTATAACAATAGTTAATGGGGCTTATAAACCAACAAACATCACTGGGGGGCCCACATTGTAAATGGCTTTCCCATCTTGACCCCACTAAGCAGTTGCTAGCGATCCGTGGTTTACGTCTCATGGGGTGATCAAGGAATGACCAGTGATGACCAGCCAATGGTCTCCTGGAAATTGCGGAATCTTCCCAGCGGTTTTTGGATCACAAAAAGAGGAAAACCACCATCTATATCAATGGCCATTTCAGGAACCTAAATTGGAGGTACCTACCATATATAAGGCCTATGTAAGGCCTATGTAAGGGAATATCTCCACAAAATATGGCCAAACATATGGTACAGTACCTCCATTTTAGGATCCTGGAGATCTCCCATTGACTATAGGGAGGTTTCCCAAGTCATGGGGGTATCCCTAGCTATGATCCAGCTATTAGATCATTTTAGATTGGGATTATCCATGAAATAAAACGAATCTATTTTGGAGTACCCCCATGACTATGGAAAGCCTCGAAAAAATGATTGGAGATATCCCATACCGAGCATTGTTGCCAACAAGGGCCAACAAATATACGGTTCAAGGTTCGCCCGCGGGATCGAAAAAAAAACACAACTTGAGCTAGTTATAAACCAACTTGCCTATCATTAACATTCATTAATTCAGTACTGTTCATTCATCACATATCAACCCCAATTTTGGAGAGTTAAGTTAAATGTTGAATTTTCCGGATGAAATCCACATTTTTCGGTGTACACCGTTTTATGGGGACCCCTTCGAGCCCAAATAGCCTCCACCGCTTTCCGCCCTGTCGCCATCTGTCGCCCAGTCGCCACATCCCAGTGCAAATTATCCGCAGAGAGCCGCCATTCTGCCACCTGCTGTTGGTGGTGCCCCAGTTCGGAAACGCTAAGTTGGGGTTCACATAACTCCAATGTCACTATGGTTTATGATAGATATAACTATAGTTACTGGGGCTTATAAACCAACAAACATCACGGGGGGGGCCTCACATTGTATGGTTTATGGTAGATATATCGAACTAGTTACTATGGTTTATACAATGTGGGACCCCCTAGATAGCTAAGTTGGTTTATAACTACAATAACTATGGTTTATAGGTGATATATCTATAGTTACTATGGTTTATATAAACTAACAAACATCACTGGGGGGGCACCACCTTGTGGCTGTCCGACAGCTCCCAACTCTTCGCTGCTTCGCTCGTCACTTAACGACATCTCCCTTCGTCAGAGCACTTGGAGGATCATCTTCCGCCACGAAGTAAACCATTTATAGATGGGATAACCCACTTTATCACCTACAAATCTAAAGCCACTTTTTATAGGGGATTATGACTATTTATCCCACCCAGATTTCTAATATAACAATTTATTGATAACCCACATATATAGGGGACTTACGTTGGGTCACCAGGGGCATGGTTTAACCGCGAGAAACACACCGGCGCATACACCAGCTATGCCAAGCTGTGTTTTTTTTTTGGCCGGTTAAATTCCCAAATTTTGATGGTTGCATTCCAATTGCTTTGCTTATTAAATTCCCATCAAGATTGGTCAGTAAGCAAACCCAAGAGTTATTGGAGATATGTTTAGCAACTTAGCAACAAACAAAAAAACGCGGGGCACCACGGCACCACCTTGCACGTTCCACATCGTCTTCACACATTGTCCCTAATATTTTTCACAGGTTTACCTACCAACAGATGCATGATCAACAGTTCCAATCCCCCCAATCTGACATCCCAAACGAAGCCCTGGCTCAACATTGGATCTAAGCAATTTGCTGCTTCCGTACATTTTCGGTGTGCAGTTGGGTTTATTCATGGCTATAGCCTCCAGCTATGGATTGAAAAAACCTCCATAAGTTCCGATACGGGGTCCCTATAACTCTGGTTAGGTACACTTAAAACCCTTTACCATCCTTTACCATGATTATAAATGGGGTTATCATGTTATCATTCCATTTTTATGTGGGTTATAACTGACTTCTATATGGCCTTAACATGCCTTCTCAGTCTATCCATTGATCACCGCAACTACGTTACACCCCCGGTGACGGCGAAGTGGCGACTCCCGTGGTGCCTTCTCAAAGTCTGTTCGCACCTCGAAGCCTGCATCGCGTGTCCACCTGTGAAGAGGATGTAGACTAGGAATGGATGATTGGATGATCGTGATAACCCATTTTTATTATTGTACAATGTGGGGCCCCCTAGATAGCTAAGTTGGTTTATGACTCCAATAACTATGGTTTATGATACTTATAACAATAGTTAATGGGGTTTATAAACCAACAAACATCACTGGGGGGGCCCACATTGTAACATTAATGGATACTGCTTATTTGGGAAGAATATGATCATCCATCAATTATATACTATTAAAATAGGTTAATTGATATCATTCCATTTTTATTGGGATAACAGAAACAAAACAACAAAGCGGACGGAAACGACAGGTCCATTGGAACGTGTTGAGCCACGTCTATGTCGCAACAGCGGTCACCACACCTGCGGATCGTTTCCATGTTGTCATCATAAACCTGGCTGTATCCATATTTGGCCTTGGTGTTTTCAGCTAGAGTCAGGGGGTGGAGGATCATGTTGGCTGATGGTATCACCAATTTTTAGTATGGCGCATGTGGTATGGGAGAAGCCACAACGAAGGCTTAAACGACTCCCATCATCGAACACTTTAAAAAAAAAAACGTGGGAAACTGCAGTAGTTGGAACCTTGAGATGCGAAACCCAAACAAAACAAGCAATTTACCATTACCCAACCAATACCCTCTGGTAAACTAACATAGCTATGAAAAATTGCCATTTATAGTTGATTTTCCCATTAATAGCATGGTGATTTTCAATAGCTATGTTAGTCATTACCAGAGGGTAAAAACCATTGGAAAATGCTGATTATTCACCGAAAATGGTGGGTGATTTGAATGGGAACTTGGTAATCGCTGGGGATTTGGCGTGCCAACCAGCTGTCAGGATGTGGGATATGTGGGATGCTTACCTCATGATGTTGGAACATGTTTTTATTGAACCCTGTATGTGATCAACCGTCATGCTATGTTCAAGAAATCAAGAAACAACCAGTGAGAGAAGAATTTGGATTTAGAGATTGAGAACTACCCTCTGGTAATCTAACATGGCTATGGAAAACCACCATTGTTCAACAGGTAAATCATTGAAATGAGTCATGTTCAGTAGCCAGGTTGAATCAGCAGATGGTATTCATAGCGCTGTCACTGCTGACATCAAGGTTCATCCAACTGTCAGGGTGCTAAGAGAACTTTTGTGTCCAACTGCCGACACAGCTTAAGACTGCATCATTGGGAAGTCATGATACGTCATTATCCTTGGAAAATAGTAGATATGCCACCCAACAAAATATGTTGAACAGGGTGCTTTGCTAAAATTGTCCAGGCATTCATTGTCAATATATCTTTGGGGGTGCCAAAAAAATGTGGTAGTGAATGCAGTAAAGTGGTATTTGATGCGATGTGCAGTTATGGCCCAACTAACAGTTTTAAATGGAAATATAACTCCTATAACTCCAGTTATATATCATTATAAACCCATAAACACAACTGTTAAGGCTTTAAGGGCCATCATTGGTAAACCAACGTTATAGCCCTCCAGCCAGCAATTTTGTGTAAAGTGGTTAAAAACAGCCTGGTGCTCGGATCTTGCAAGCCCCGATGTGAAGACATTGTTCTAGCATGTCATAGCCGTAACTTTGAAAATTTTGGTCATTAACCACTTCAGAAATCATCTTCTATCCCATTTCTAGAATGGTTATTTACAAGATTGATTCATTAAAACAACGGTCACTGTTCCGTTGTTTTTATCGAAATTCCTCCGGATCCTCCGGTCCGGATCCTCCAGTCGACCGGCCGGCCGGTAGCGGTGCCAAGGGACAGAATATCCACCCATGAAAAACACCACCCGGTCCAAGACGATCCCCGAACCTTAAAGACTTGGTCATGGCCCATGGCGAAGCATGCCGAACGAAGCGACGCCCATGGCGTGAAGCGACAAGTTGACTATATAACTATATAACTAAGACAAGGGCCCTAGGGTCTATCATAGATATTAACTATCTAGAATATTCATGGGGATTATAAACCAACAAACATAACTGGTATATATTGGTATATAGCATACAGATGCGTAAGCGTACCATCGTTGTGTGCCACTCGCCCTTGCAAGCGAACACCAAAGGCATGTGGTATACCAACTCCTCTGAAAAATATGAGTTCGTCAGTTGGGATGATTATCCCATATATGAAATGGAAAAACAGTTTGAAACCACCAACAAGATTTGGAGTTGAAGCATGTTGAAACAATGTGCTGAACATGAGATCTTTTGCCAAAGCTTCAGCTGCCCCTGCCTGCTAAATCCACTGACCAAGTCCCAAACAAATGGCCCTCAAGTGGGGACACCACATTTTGACACAAACATATTTCATGACACATGTGAAGAGGGAAATCCCATTTTCAATGAGAGGAAATCAACAACATGTTCAAACCAACCGCCAGATGTAGCACATTCCAATGTTGGAAATTCATGGAAATTCTGTGCCTTTGCGTCTTTGAGTCAATTATCATGAATGATTTGATAAATCATACCTGGTTCCAATCTGTCCAATTTATGCCTGAATAGTGATCAATATTCCAAGAAAATAGCATCGCCAGAACAAACCTGGTAAAATCATGAAAATGTGGGTGTGGGTCATACCCTAAGTATTGGATAGATAACCAACGTTACAATTCAAACTAGTTGAAGACAATAAAAGGACCTACAATATACAGGATGGGGCCCCCAGTTGATAGCCTTCAGTTGTCTCATAAGTGGTGAAAAAACTGTGGTTTATGGTAGATATAACCATAGTTAATGGGGATTACCCTCTGGTAAACTAACATAGCTATTGAAAATGACAATTTATAGTGAGTTTCCCCACTAAACATGGTGGATCTTTCCATAGTTTTTTGTAGGTTTACCAGAGGGTATCATGTTTATAAACCAACGTTCCCATCACAAAGGTTTTCCCCATCCTGTAGTTCATCCCCCGTTCGTTCATCCCAAGTAACCAGACAACAACAAGGCCAATCGGTGTGGTGGACTTGTTGTCTGCTGCTTTTTTAGGATCCTCCTGTTTTTCAGTGTGTTTTTTTCCAGTCATATCTTGTAATAATAATAGTAATAATAGTAGCTGGGTAAATTATAATATTTCACTAACCTGAATTAAGGCCATTTTGGGATGATTTCCCTTATTAACCATGATTCCAGTGAGGTCGCAGTGAGGTCGTTATAATTTACCCAGATAGTATATAATAATAGAAAATAGTACGAATTCATATGTTATAATCTAATTGGTGGTTTCAACCTGACAAATATGACTTCGTCAGATTGGATCATCCCAACTATTGGGGAAAATAAAAAACATGTTCCAAACACCACCAACCCGTCTATATATATGTTCCTATTCCAATCCCTATAACCAGATTAACCACTATTAACCATTATTAACCACTATTAACCACTATTAACCATTATTAACCACTATCATATCCCTATTATTGATGATTGAATCCTTTATTCCAGATATCTTCGTATCAAGATGTGGTGGGATTGTCCCACGACGTGGTTTTCTGAAAATTTCTTCGCTATCGGATGATCCTCGGGGGATTCGATCCATCGTGAACGTGGACGCTGTGTTGATACCATCTGGTTATGACATTGCCAGTTCGCCATGGAAAATCACCATGCTATTAAGAACGGTAAACCATTTATTTCTATGGGCCATCGAAAAACCATGGCTATGTTAGTCATAACCAGACGGCCATGCTATTAATAGGAAAGCTCCACCATGCTATTAAGAACGGTAAACCATCTATGAATCGATGGGCCATGGCTTCCATGGCGAACTAGCAATGTCATAACCATAGGGTTTTTCCTCCATTTACACCATGATTTATGCTACGTGTAACATCTGGCAACGATAGTCTTCGTGGGGTTTATAAAGCAACAAACAGAACTGGGGGGGGTCACATTGTAGGGATAAAAGCGATAAAAAATAAGGTTGTACTTGTTCATGAAATACCAACAAACATTGGGGGTATAACCAGTATCATATACATCACCAACATCCAGGTTGTACTTGTTCATGGTATGTTTGATATGTTGTACAAATATCAAAAATACCAGAATCATCATGGACATTTTGTGGGATACACAATGGGATATGTGCAGCAAAAAAAAAATCATGTTTTTCTGTGGGATTCTCCCAATTGCATAGTCACCCATGGCGTATACCCTCTGGTAAACGTTTACATAGCCATGGAAAATGGCCCATCTATAGATGATTTTCCCATATTTTCCAATTAAAAAAAACTCCATTTCATAGGGAATTTCGATGGCTATGTTAAGAAACCAGAGGGTAACCAACCATGACCAGGGGTCGTTTCCCAAATAATGGCGCAGTAGTGCCGCACTTTCATCAACCCCTTTTCGAAAAGGGGGATGCCCGGGATGGCATTGAGTGAATCCCACCACCCTTTTCGAAAAGGGGGATGCCCGGGATGGCATTGAGTGAATCCCACAAAAAGGCGTCCTTTCAGATATTTTTAGTGGCCAAAGATATTTTAGATCTTCCCAACTATTACTGGCTGAATTATAATACATATATATATGTATTATATATATATATATGTATTATATATATATATGTGTATTATATATATATGTATTCTATATATGTATTATATTATATATATATGTATTATATTATATATATATTCACCCACTTGAAAACAACTCTGATCATAAGGCAATTTGCTGAATCCTAACACCATCATTCCAGTGAAGGAAAACAGTGGGGTCACAACATATTCCATCCAGGGTATGTTCACTATATTCCATTATATAACCGTCGTTAGTTGATTATATATATATTATATGCATTCTATCTCCAGTATATCTTTTAAAAAAATATGTACCCTCTGGTTATATGTTACAGTTCGCCATGGAAAATTTGTTCACAGTTTGCCATGGAAAATCACCACCGATCTCCGAGGATTACCCCCAGCTGAACCAGCAACCCAGCAGGTCGTAGAGGTCTTGCCAGGCTTCCTGGGCGTGGCAAAAAGGATGTGGAAAACCTATGGGGAAAGCGTGGAAAACCTTCCTGGTAGTATAACCCCATTGAAAATGGTGATTTGCCATAGTTATGATGGATAATTATGATGGATAACTGGTTGGTGGTGCAATTTCACCATCTTGAAAAATGATGGATTTCGTCAATGGTTGAAGGATGACATCCCATATATGAAATGGAAAATAAACATGTTCCAAACCACCAACCAGATGGGGAAAGCCCGGACAACGACCGAACAAAAAAATCTGGGATTGCCACATCTTTTTGTATGGTTACAGGATGAAAAGAAGGAGGATTTTTCATTGATACAACCATCGTAAAAAAAATCCCTGTAAATGTGGAATTTAAAACCTCTACGATTTTTGCTATAGATTCTATAGATTCATTTTGTAAAGAAAGTTGGCTCTTACAAAATGATTCGCCCAGCAAAAAACACACTTTTTACAAAATGGCATGGTTGACCAGAAAAATGTCCTTACAAAATGCATCCCTTTGTTAGAAAAATGCCCCTGGAATGGAACATGGGTCAAGCCATTTCATAGTGGAAATGTACACAGGGATATATATATATATATCTATACCATAAACCATAGTTCTTGAAGTTATATTTATCGCACCCACCAACTTTCATCGCGATTTGGGATCCATTTCTGGATTTCCTAAAGGGCACCACACCTTGAAGGTCACCGGTCACCGTCGCACTGCACTGAATTTCTTCAAGGTGATCGAGGTGAACTTTGCACAGAGGTATGGAAAATCCTCATGTTTATTATCTGATCTAAATCAACGTACATCATCTGTAAATGGACCATTCTCCATAGCCATGTTAAATAACCAGAGGGTAGACAATGTCTATGCACTTGTTGGTTTCAACCTATCCATACATATCGCAAGAATGTGCTCATCAGTTTGGTATCATCATCCCAAATGTGACTCGAGGACCAGTTCGATTCAATTCCTAAAGAGATTTTTAGGGTGCATAACAACCTTCAGGTCAAAATTGGTACATAAATACAATTCTGACCGATATTTATAATATACCTGGTTTCCCGAAACTGGAATATTGGGCAACACAGGGAGCGCATATAGCTTTCAACAAAATCATAGGGGCACAATGAAGAACCGAAGGTGTATGGGTCCAATGATGGAGGAAACAGGTGTGGGCCTGTGACTGACAGTACGATCATTTACCGAGCATTGCTCTCCCTTTCATCGACCAACTGCCTCAAACCAATATCCTATTGCTGTTGAAGGGTTTAGTGTCAAAAGTTTGAACACATAAACCAAATCAATAATTAGTATTTAGCATGTATATGTATATAATATTATATAATATGTCAATTAGTATATCCTATTGCTGTGTTTAGTGTCAACTGCTTTGTTTTGCAACAAAAAAACACAAAAACAAAACCTCTACACCTGCCTGTCTTGATTGGATGGTGTTAAGGGTTGGCAAGCAATGATCACACTCAGCCATGATCTTGGCGATAGCATTCTAGGAGCCACAACAAAATACCATCTGGTTGAATCTCAGTTTGTTATGGACAATATATAGCTGCCTGATTTGATTTACCGTATTTACCTATTGAGAACGGTGATTTTCCATAGCTACGTTAAATCACCAAAAGGGACAACCCTTATCTCGACCGCACATCCATGCACCCTTGCGTCATCTGCCAGGCATCATGAAAGACTTGTTCCTCAGCTTCGCGACGGTTTCAGGGAAATTTTATGGTTGAAACTGGATGATTCCCACCTAAAAATGCATTGCAATTCTTCCCATCATCGCATTCTGGGAGGGATGGGTTCAGGAAATTTGGTTGATACAAGTCTGAAACCCAGGCACCGGATGAACATCTAGCAGTACGTGAATGTTTCAAACAATTAAAAACATGTTTGTTCGGACTGTACAGCGAAATCGTTTGAAAACGCACAGTTTTTGTCTTTCACAAGTATCTTTGTGAATGCAAAGAGGCTGTCCGGTTCAGTATCTTAATATTCTCAAATCATGTGACAAACCATAGGTGATATGAACCGTGTGAGCAGCTTGCAAAGCATCTTCATTATACAGGAACAATCCCTATGGTACATTATGGTACCATCATAATCAACTGGTATAAAAATACCCCAAAAGTCTCAAAGCGTCGACCAATTCAATGATCGACCCACAAGCAACCCAATCAAACAACTAGCCTAAACCTGTCTAAACTCTCGATTCCGACAAAAAAACAACCCCTCCCTAAACATCTCCCCACCTGGACCTGATGTTAAAAAAACAACTTGAGCCATCCCAGGGCGCCCATCCAAGCTTCGTTCATGGGAGATGCGGTGTGTTCATTCCCGAAATAACTGATCCCCAAGACCTGATAGGCCTGCGAAGCGCGAAGCGAGTCGCGGATGGATCTGGCGAAACATGGTCCGATGGTTTGTCACCAAAGTTTATGGAGCTTCATGGAGAATGATAGCTGAATATGGTTGTATATGGGATAATCACTAATAGGGATATGGCTTTTATATGGGAATAATATGGGATAACAATTTATATGGAGTTTTTATATGGTTCAATAGGTTTTATATGGAATAATGATGGAATAGTAATGGAAAATAATGGAAGAATACGGTTTTATATGGAATAATAATGGAGGTTTATATATAGCTGAATATGGTTTTATATGGTTCAATAGGGATAATCATGGAATAATATGGGAATAATACGGGATAATATTAGAATAATGATGGAAAAGTAATGGATTTACCCTCCGGTGTCTTCGAACGTGGCTACATGAGAAATCCCGGCCATAAATGGAGCTCTTCTCTACAAATTTGACATGTTCTCCAAAATCGATTTTTAAAACCAAAGCCAACGGCCAGGGAAGTTCGAAGTGAGGCAGGTGGCAAAACCCAGGGTTTTGAGGATCGGATATTCACTGGATTGCATGCAAGTCTTCAAAACTAGACATCCAGATACTCAAGTAGGGTTGCTCTAAACGTCCAAGGCAAATAATTTGGGTAAATCGGCAAAATGACTATCCTTTGTCTATCATGGGTTGGAGCAGCCCTGCTCAAATGTCCATATTTTCCCTTTTTGCGGATACATGGTATACATGGTATTTCCTGCGCAGGGTATGCATTGAGAACATGGTTGTGACCAAAGCATCTGGGCCAGGATCAGGTGTCTATACGGACCAATGGCTAGCTGTCACTAAGAACGGTCAAAAGTGTGGTAGTTGGTGCTTTCAAACTCATTGAAACATACCTGCGGGATGATGATGATCATTGCCTTGAATATCTTGAATTTTGGGTTGGCTGGAGATGGTTCATTCGTGGCTTCGGCGAATTTGTCATCATCCCGCTTTTGGTTAAGATAAACATGGTTCATATCCTAATTCTGAAGGAGAATATGGCCAGTCTGCTGGTTGGTGTACAATGCTCCAATTAATCGCAACAAATCTACGTATTACGCTGCCCATCCAGTCTGTCTACCCAGTTTGTATCCTAGTATAAGATCCATTGTTTATTGTTTAACTCGCCAGAGCGCTGTTTGTTCAAAGCCCCGTTGTTGTTGTTGTTGCTGTTGTTGTTGTTGTTGCTGTTGTTGTTGTTGCTGTTGCTGTTGCTGTTGTTGTTGTTGTTGCTGTTGCTGTTGCTGTTGCTGTTGTTGTTGTTGTTGCTGTTATTGTTCTTGTTCTTGTTTTTGTTCTTGTTCTTGTTTTTGCTAGCGGGTGGAAAACTGCGCGTGTAGTCGTGCTACTTTTTCAATATGGGGGTTGGGTGGGGTGGGGTGGGATATCAACGTTCATGTGCCTTGCGTGCACACGTGGATGCTTCGCTGCTACGTCAGTGGTTAGGGGGTTGGGTGGGGTGGGATGGGATATTAAGGTTCATGTGCCTTGCGTACACACGTGGATGCTTCGCTGCTGCTGCGTCAGTGGTTAGGGGTTGGGTGTGGTGGGGTGGGATATTAGCGTTGATGTGCCTTGCGTGCACACGCTGCTGCTACGTCATTGGTTGGGGTTTGGGTGGGGTTGGGTAATAACGTTCATGTGACTTGCTCACACACGTGATGCTACGCTGCTGCTACGTCATTGGTTGGGATTTGGGTGGGGTTGCTTTTACCCTTTTTGAAACATGCGAATAAATATGTATTATATATATATGATTTTACTTTCTTTGTCACATGCGGTTACAACCCTTAGATGTGAATATTACGTGTCTCAGATTCACAATACGTTGAGATGTACATTGCTTCTGCACACCGGTAGCATCGACGGTATGTGGAAATTGTCCAATGGTGCAGTGCCAACCTCTTGGAGCACACGTAAAGATGGTGCTGTGAACCCTCAGTTGCTTCAAGGAATTGGGATTTGGCAACGGCGATGGCACCATGGAAATTGCACAGACTTTCTCAGTCTCACCGGCCACGCTCTGAGCAAACCATTGGAGAAGTAAGACGCCCAAAGAACAGGGAAACAGCGACCACCCCGCCAGCAGCACAAAACCCTGTAAATACCACGACATTCCTTCAAAGTCATCGAATTTTCCCCGGGAAAATTTAAGGTAATGTTTTTCATAAAATGTGCATGGCGCCACAGCGCCAGCAGAGTTTGTTTTCAAAAAGTGCTTAACCGCTAGCGCGGTTTCCCACCCGCCGGGTTGTTTTTGTTGTTGTTCTTGTTGTTGTGGTTGTTGGTTGGTGTTTGTTGCTTGTTGCGTGTTGTTTGTTGTTGGTTGTTTGATGTTTGTTGTTTTTGTTTGTTGGTTGTTGTCTTTTGGTTGTTGGTTTTTGTTTGTTGGTTGTTGTTGTTGTTGATGATGATGATTGTTGTTGTGTTTTTAAAAAGTTGTTGTTTTATATCCAAGTGTATTCTCCGGAACTCAACAATCCCCATTATTGTTTGGGTTTTTGCTATCATTGCATTCACTATGAACATGTCATTAACGTTTAACAGCAATTACTGTAACATTTAGTAATGTTTACATTTCATTCGCATTTATCAGCTATTGACATTTATCTATTAACATTTATTGACATTTATTAACATTATTTTACAAGTATGAACATTTCTTAACATTTATTAAGCCACTTATATATATATGATATATATGTATACATATATCCCCATATATCTCCCGTTGGACAAAAATGGGGTTAGCGATTTTGAGTAGATCGAGCTGATTCACATTGATTAACATTACTCATTATCAGTTGAACATTATCCATTGATCGAGCTATGAACATTATGAATGTGAACATTATAAGGTGATTTTATGATTAGCTATCAAGTTGATGGGATAACATTACCATCTGGTTATTTAACGTAGCCATGGAAAATCCCGGACATAATTCGAGGTTTATAGCTGGGAAAATCATCTATTTCTATGGGCCATTTTCCATGGCTATGTTAAATAACCAGAGGGTAATTAACATTATGAACATCTACTCGTTTTCCAGCCATGCTTGAATCAGCTCTAGCTCATTCAGCTTTTCTGCTAAAAAAACTATTCTTTTCCGACAAAAAACAAACATGTGTGCTGGTTGGTGGTTTCAATCCCTCTGAAAAATATGAGTTCGTCAACTGGGATGATGATTATTCCCAATACATGGAAAAATGTTCCAAACCACCAACCAGTCTATTAATAGCTAATAAACGATATCACTGATCAATGATAATACATATTAATAAATGTTGGTTGACATTCATTAACATTGGTGAACATGTATTATATAAACATGTTTAAGATCATTAATTAGCATTGATAAACATTTATCAATTATATACCATCTATTAACATCTATTCACATTTATCTGGGCAAATGATACTAATTCACTCACCTGAATAGTTCGGCCATCTTGGGATAATCCCCCATAATCTAACCATGATTCCAGGGCTCGGTCGCAGTGAGGTCGTTTTAATTTGCCCAGATTTATTCAATTATATACAAATTACCAATATCCTGAAGTTCTTGTGGCTTAATCCGTTAAATCACATCGTGATCCAGACTAAATACCAGTATATCACCACCACTAAATCCCATCAAACAATCACCACTAAATCCCATTAATCACCACTAAATCCCATTAAACACCATTAAATCCTATTAAATCCCATTTCCATTACAGTAAATCCAAAAAAAAACGCTAAGTTAAAAGAAGAAACACGATATCCTATCGTTCCCACGAAATCACCCCGATATCCGGAAGATCCTCCAGGAGCAGCTGATCCCCCGATGAAAACTTCCGCGCCTTGCCCCTGGCCGCTGACCCCCTCAGGAAGCTTCGAATCTCGTTGATGCCGCCGCCAGGGTAGGGGTGCACCTACCCGCCGCCCCGCGGCCGCATTTGCGGCTTTTTTGGCACAACGGTCGGGATTGATGGACCCCAACTATATGGGAAATATAGATCATAACTATGTAAACTAATTCAACAATAGTTATATTATGTTTTATCATTAAGGACTTTTGATGATGATAAATACGATTGACAAAGGTTGGTGATCTATTGATACTATTGGAAACTGTATTGGAGATACATGCTAACTATATATTGGTTAATATTTGGAAAATGATATCAATGTAACATAGGTGAATATACTGAACAATAATTATTGATGTTGATGTTGTTAAGTAATAATGCTGCACCTGAATAAATACAGTATCATGTAATATTGCAATATTAATGATATGTCCAATACTATATGGTGAGTGTATATTTATATATATATATATATTGAGTAATAATGTTTCATTTGATCTACCCAACTATATATATTGGATATGAACTATACCATGGTAACAAACATATACTTTTTCCATTTCCCTGTCAGATAGGTAACCGACCACAAAATCATCTTAAGTAAAATTAAGCTGGTTACCTATCTCAAAGGTAACTAGAGACATAGGGATTGGTAAATATAAGGTAACTACATTCAATAAATTAAAATATATAATCGAAGGAAGTTTAGAAGTCAAACTTCCGACAATATGGACAGATGAAAAGCAGAGCAGGGAAGAGGCAGAGAGAAGAGAAAGATTAGAAGAAAGAAGAGTAGAAGAGAAAGAGTAAGAAGAAAGAAGATGCAGATGCGAGAAAAGGTAGGAAAGTCGCGAAACACTGCGTTTTTCCAATGATTTGGGGCTCCGGAGGGTCGAAAAGCAGGCTCGCTGAAGCGGCGGGTGCGGAGCCAGCTGGCCAGATGAGAGATGAAAAATTGCACGCCGCTGTGGCGCGAAGCACATTTGCAAGTCAAAATGTACAAAGCACACCATTCTCGGACCACTTTTGGAAGTTGAGATGTCGAAAAAGTGCACGCCGTTGTGGCGCGAAGCACATTTCGAAGTGAAAATGTAAAAAACACTACATGTTCGCGCCACTTTTGGAGGTTCAGATGTCGAAAAAGTGCACGCCGTTGTGGCGCGAAGCACATTTCGAAGTCAAAATGTTAAAAACACTGGGGAATCGGACCACTTTTGGAAGTTGAGATGTTGAAAAAGTGCACGCCGTTGTGGCGCGAAGCACATTTCCAAGTCAAAATGTACAAAACACCACATGTCCGCGCCACTTTTGGAAGTTCCGATGTGGAAAAAGTGCACACCGTTGTGGCGCGAAGCATATTTCGAAGTGAATATGTAAAAAACACTACATGTTCGCGCCACTTTTGGAGGTTCAGATGTCGAAAAAGTGCACGCCGTTGTGGCGCGAAGCACATTTCGAAGTCAAAATGTTAAAAACACTGGGGAATCGGACCACTTTTGCAGGTTCAGATGTCACTTCGCTTCGCTTCGCTTCACTACAATACCTTACATTACACTACACTACACTACACTACATTACACTACACTCCACTACACTACATTACACTACACTACACTACCTTCCACTACACTTCACTACATTACACTACACTCCACTACAACTACACCTACGACTACACAACTACACTCCACTACACGAAATTACACTACACTACACTACATTACACTACACCACATTCCACTACACTCCACTACACTACACTACTTTACACTACACTACCTTACACTGAATGACACTGCAGCACAGATAGACAGGTAGACAGATAGACAGATAGACAGATAGACAGATAGACAGAGAGATAGATAGATAGATAGATAGATAGATAGATAGATAGACAGACAGATAGATAGATAGATAGATAGGTAATTAGATGAAAGAGAGAGAGAGAGGTAGGTCGATAGATAGATAGATACAATGAAGATAGGTAGGTAGGTAGGTAGGTAGATAGTCAGAGAAAGAGAGAGAAAGAGAGGAGACCTCAAGCACCTTTCGGTCCATCAGTGGATTCGCTCTGCCATCCCGGATTCACAACAACCAATCTCTCCTATAGGTTTCCTATTTTTGAAACTTCTGCCACCGCCTTGTGCGGTACTACTGGAAACTCTCACGTAAACTTCCACTCCTGCCGTCATCTGCAGTTTGGTCGAACGATCCTCCGAACCCGACTGTAAATGCAGTGCCTCAGTCATGGGCTTGAATTGAATGACAAGTGGAGAGTTCACCCGCCTGGAAGCGTCCGTCAGTCGATGAAGACACCCACTGCATGAATCTGTGACAAATGAGATCTGAATGCCCATCGTTGATCGGACCCATGGACAGCGTCAACTAAGTGCGTCCAACCATGATCAGCGTACACGCCACCACTTCCGACGCGATGGTGACTCTGTCTTGCCCGGGCTAACCCAAACACTGCCACCGGCCTTGCTGTCTTTTGTCCCCCATATTTGGCTGCAATGGCACTGGCATGAAGAATATGAGCCGATGTGTAGCCTGATTCACCTGGTTTGTCGATCATAAGGTCAATATGAACGACATAGATGAAAATAGTTGTTCCCAAACCATTCTCCACCTTCCCTACCAAACCCCTGCTCAGCTGCTGTGGGGTGCAAAGCACTCTTGTCATGTCTGCGTGTCCGGTGGGCCGGCCGCTTCTCGACAACTTGTTTTGTTGTCTCACAGGTTGTCCCCTCTTTTACCTGCGATACTGAACCCATCGCAACACAGAAGTTTTTTTATGTTTTTTTCGCAGTTTCTTTGACAAATTCCGTGCTATGCAGCCCTGGCCAAGCGCTATGCAGTCCTACCCAGTGCTATGCAGTGACTATTTCAGAGCACCCTCCGAAAATCAAACGTGGCAATCGAAAATCCATGAAAATCCACCATTTCAAAGTCATTAGAACTCATTTAAAATCATTAAACATCATTAAAAATCATTCACCCATGGGTTTCCCATTAAAGATCCTCCATTTCTTCCATGGATTGGCCGCTTTGCCCAGCGACCTCCAAAGTTCCCGGGATCACATACTGCAATTCTGTTGTCACATGCGTCCTGGGCCGACACCGGCGATAGGAGTGGGGATTAGGCAAAAAAAACATAGTAAAAATATCAATCGCCATCCCCACTGAAATAATAGTTAATTATCAATGTTGTGGAAGACCCCAGAAGCCCTGGCTTAGTGGAAGACCCCTTCTTACTAATTCAACAATAGTTATACTTCTGCACAAGTGGGGATGTTTCCTTGCTGAACAATTCCCTGCTTGGGAAACAATATGTTCACCAATATATCCAGTTAAGCTGGTTACCTATCTCAAAGATAACTGGAGATAAAGAATATCTGGAATTTGTTTGCTGAACAATTCCGTAAGATTGGGAGATGTTGGGATACAATTGTATATATATATATATATAACATAATATGTATATAGTTATCCCCAAATAGATGGAAAAGTAAATCCCTACTAATTTCATGGTGATTAAAAAAAACTGTTCCATCTATTTGGGGATGACTATATATATATATATATCTAACAATATATATTCATATATGCCCCGCTTCAACACGATTCTGCACTAAAAAGAGATCATTGCCACAACTCCAGGGCGGCAGTCGGAACATGTGACGAAATTTTCATGTTTGCTTTGGAAAACTAACATACCATCTGTTTTTTTAACATAGCCATGGAAAATCCCTAATAAATGGAGGTTTCTAGCTGGGAAAATCATCTATAAATGGGCCATTTTCCATGGCTATGTTAAATAACCAGAGGGTAACTATGAAAATCATATTTACCCATTAGAAACTAACATGACCTACAACTGGGGAGGCCTCCGGATTTTTGCACATTGTTTTCCTCTCCTTCTCAGAATCTTCACCTCCCCCCTGGTCCTCTTCTTGTTTGGCCTTTTGGCATATAGAGAGCTATCGCCCACCAGTCCGTAGTCGATGATCTGGACGATGTTCATCGTTTGTCAAAGACGTGGGACGCGGCCATTTTTTGGCAAATCTTGGATAGCCTGTAAACTGAAGCTAATTCTATTCTTGGTAAAACATGCATATAACAGATCACTGGTTGATGGTTTCAACCCTCTGAAAAATATGAGTTCGTCAGTTGGGATGATGACATTCCCAATATATGGAAAAATAAAATTCATGTTCCAAACCACCAACCAGATCAATATATAACGTTATATATGGTTATATTAGGCTGGCTTCCACACCAGTGAGGCTTCGGTCGGTTAGTGAGGTCACCGCAAATTCGCAGCCGCGAAGCATGGGATTTTTGATGGTTAGAACATACCCTCAGGTAAACCTACAAAAAACTATGGAAAATCACCATGTTTAATGGGTAAATCAACTGTTTCTATGGCCATGTTCAATAGCAAACTGTTAGCTGTTAGTTTACCAGAGGCTCTGTGTGTCCCTTGACCTATCGGTCTTCTGGAGATGATACACTGGCTGACATGGGGTGAAGAAAGCTGGCTGTTCCATGCTGTTCCCACGGTCTGCTGTTGTTGCTTTCTGAAAGGAAAGCTCCTTGGAACCGAAATGGCGATCAAGTCGCTGGTTAAAACGCAAAGTTCTACTCGCAGGATCATCCCACCTAGTGGTGAAAATAATCTTGAGTAGCTTCCCTAAGTGGGTTATCATCTATAAATACATGTTGAAATACATGATATATAATTTATAATGATTGTTATTAATACTGAGTGGGAGATAATCATAATAAATAATATGATTTCATGATGCTTATTAAGCACTTACGATTCGTGGGATGAGCCTAGCCTCGTAGATTCTGAAAAAACACGTCGGAGTTGTCCGCTTCAGATTTCCCCCCGACAGGCTGTGACAGGATTGCCGCCTGTTTTTTGGATCTAACCCAACACATCCCAATACTACAAGAAGACCTCAGTTTACAGATGAAAATGGCCATTTATAGATGATTTACCCACTGGAAATGGTGATTTTCCATAGTTACAATACAGAATGGCCAATTATTAAACTGTTTATCATTGCTTATCGATGCACGGGAATATATTGTTAGATATCTTTTTAATGCTGGTATATCCTTGCCATATCTAGCGCTTCATTCAATAGACTCAACCTAGCCTTCTAGCCAATAACCAAAGACTTGCTGAGTTTCTGGGTCCATTGTAAAGATACCCAAACAACTCAGGTAACATCAAGAAACTTTGAAACATCATCATGGTGGATGTAGCATTGGTTTCATGGCTGTAGCATGACGTGAAGGGAACCCCTCGAAGTCGTATCATCTTCAACCCCCAACTCGTCACCATTGTACATAGAGTACATGCAACAGGATTCATCCTTGTTCACTACATCTAACGCTAGCTGCCACTGTCATCACAAGTTCCTGGATTCTCGATTTTACCGTCGAGATCCACTGTTCGTGGCAACATTTCACCAGCTTGTTGGTACATACCCTCTGGTAAACTAACATAGCTATTAAAAATGATCATTTATAGTTTATTGTGCTAGTAAAATTGTCTTTTTTCATAGCTATGTTAGTTTACCAGAGGGCAAATCAGTGTTTAGCAGCTACATGCATCCTTGACAGTAAACCTCCCGAAGGTGGTTCTGAACAATGATGAATGTGGTAAAGCCATGCACCCTCTGGTAAACTAACATAACTATGGAAAATCACCATTTTTATTGGGTAAATCAATTATTTCTATGGCCATTTTCTATGTCGCAAACTGTTAGTTCACCAGAGGGTAAATGAAAGCAAAAAACCATGAGCCATACACCATCTACCCGATCTTACCGGGGAGGAATTGAAAACCATCGCCCAAACTTTGGGAGTTTATGAGATTTCTCGGGGGAGTGCATCCTCATCTTTAAGTGGCAAAAAAAACGCGCAATGAATTGTGTATATTAACATTACGTAAATGCGGATATGTATGGATATGTATGGATATGCATGGATATTATCTATCTATCTATATATATAGAGAATTATATAGATATATGATATATATATATATATAATATCCATACATATCCATACATATCCACATTTACGTAATGTTACTTATAATGTTAGATACGTTCCTTCTCAGCCACTGACATTCCCTGGGATGCACATCCAGTCGTAACCGTTACCATGTCGGCAGATCTCGGTTCCGTCAAACTCAGCATCCGCGCTTTGAACCATGAGGCGATAGCCTGTGAAGATGTGGTTCTCACCAGTGGTGGGACGACTTACCCACCAAGAATGTGGGGATTTAACGTGAATTCATATGTTTTAATATGATTTAATGTAACTTAAAATATATGATTTACAGTACTAGGACTGAATACAATTTGATATGATTCAATATTATTATATGATTTAATTATGGTTTGACTTGCTATAGCCGTAGTAGCCTTTGGTGATTGAACATAGCAAGAGGAAATCAACATCATGTTGGACCATGTTCAAGTGATTCAAGTGCCATGTTAGATAAAACCCACATGGCAAACGCCGCAGAAATCAAAGCTGGACACACAAGGAATTACCCTCTGGTAAACTAACATAGCTATTGAAAATGGCCGTTTATAGTTGATTTACCCAATCAAAATGGTGATTTTCCATAGTTTTTTGTAGGTTTACCAGAGGGTATGATTCTGAAGGGAAAAGCATCGTCCAATTCCATGTGTTTTCTCGTTTTTTTCCGTTTATGAAGTTCCACTTCAGTCTTCATTCGGCCCTCAAGGCTGTCACCCTGTCACCAGCAAGCCATATCCCATGGGGGGGAGTTGAATCCCCTATGACTTTCAGAAATCTTTGAGATGGAGGTTTTCCAAAATTAAGCCACGTTTTTTTGAAAACGATAGTGACTTGGGGGTACACCCATGACTTAGGAAAGCTCCAGATAAGAATCTTAGGATTCAAGTCTTAACCCAAAGTTCAGCATCTCGAAGTGATTTGGATCATGCCTCGCCCAGTGGCCTGGGCACCAAACTCTTTTTTAAAAACCGTATTTAGCAACAAAGGCTTCGTCCAAAAATGAAATCTACACCAAATCCCTGTGAGTCATCATTGTCCCAGCATGTTGGTAAAATCGATATTCATTATATCATCATTGTATCCCATGTTATTTTCCAGCTATCATATATCCCAATTGCATTCCAAAATAAAAAACATCTTATGCAACTTGTCAACGAAACTGCTGGCGCTTGGGAATCCAAAGATGTCCGTCTGAACGGAATGAAAATCACTGAGTACCAGAAAAAAACAAAATCATCAACCCATAGAATCCGGGTAAATTTCTCCATAATCAACCCCCATCTGGGTAAAAACTCATCATTCAAAATAAATTCACCAGCCATAATCAAAAAAAATGATGAAAAATCATGATTTTTTACCACCATTCATCCACCATACATCTGGGTAAATTATCATATTTCACTCACCTGAATTCTTGGGCCATAAAAGGGGATGATTCCCCTAAAATAAACCATGATGAACCAGGGCGGCTCGAAGGTCGAACAGGCTTCGGTCGAACCATGGCATGTACCCAGATAACTGCGATTTTTTCAGCAAAATCACTGGCAAAACCCATCTTAAATCCCAGGAAAAACCTTGGTTATGAAAAAATGCTTATGAATCAATACCTATTATAAAATACTATAAACACTTATAAACCATAGAGGGATGAACATCCATAAATCCCAGCAATTTGGTATGAACTACAGGGAAACATGCCCAATATAAATTCTGAAGCATCTCGGTAGTATCGAGCACCTTTCAGCAGCTGCCAGCGTTCAGTGTGTTTACCTGACGAAAACAGGCATCTTTGCCAACGAAGAACATCAAAGCAGGGATTGCGCGGTAGACCCAATTGCTAAAACCTAAAAACCTACCCTAAAAACACATGTTCAAAAAACCTATCAAAATCTACTATTTGGGGATGGTGTATAGAAATGTATAGTATAGAACCAATTTAATGGTGATTTCGGGATGGTTTATTGGGTTTACCACACTAATTCCAGCCCCACTCTTTACCCTGACCCGGAATATCCGGAATAACAACACACCCATATGCTCCATGTATGGTATATTTACCTACATTTAGGTGATTTTTAGGGCAAATGTTTGTTAACTATTCCATACATGGAGCATATGGGACATAAGTTTTATAAAGAAACTAACTCCGATGAGTTGTTGATAATATGTCTATGTTGTTTAAAGGAAATGATCTGAAATCAAAAGGAACTAAAAGGAAACTAAATTGAACCATCTCCAGACGTATATTAAAAACAAATCCAGGGGCCACACTTATTAATCAAAATCAGACATGAAAGAAAAAAAGGTCGTGAACGCTGTGAAAATCAAAAACAAACAAACTCGGAAAATCATTCCCAGTTCATGGATTATGATAGTTCCCAATTAATAGTCGATAGTAAAGTTCCAACAAACATCATCAATTACTTATCATTTTTATGCATATATATAAATATTAAAATTATATATATATATGTATATATAATTGCATATATAATACATATACATATACATATACCTTCTATGCTCTGGTAATCAAATGGCAATAGAACATCCCCGAACTAAACGGAGGCTTCTAGGTTTGGATTTCCATGGAACCAAATTGGGGAATTGTCCCGGAGTCCGGAAGAATTTTTAATCTGTGCAGCGATGGCCACCTTTTAGTCTGTGCAGGCTGAAAGAAAGGCCATTTCTTGCTGAACAAAAAAAAAGTGGGCAATTTCCGGATATGTGGGATTTCATCGCCTTTTTTTGGGTGCTTGATTCTGGATTATCATCGCAATTCTACGTTTTTTTCATACGGATATTTTGTGAGGATACACTAAAATCCATGGCTGCATAAAAACTCACCACTGGTGGTGCTGTTGTTTTATTTTCTTGATTGCACCTCACAAGCAAAAAATGGCTCGGAAAAAACCTGGAAGCGAACTCTGAAGGACGTCGACCACCGGTCCGACTGGTGATCGATCTTAGCGGTGATG